AAAGGACCAAGAGCCAGGTAGAAATCCCAAAAAACCAGGTAAAGACCACACAAAAGGAAAACTTTCAACCCAGCGAGCAGCACAATCAAGGGCCTCAAGAACAACATCATCCTCCCGAATTGTAGAATCTGCCATAAGAGCATCCACTTTGTTGCGCTCACGCCAGTACTTGAGGGACCCAAAATCGTCCACACATTAACAAACTTCTAAGGTTTCTGTTCTTAATCAACTGAAATATCTTTTTCATTATAAACAAAGTTATGCATCAAATAAAGGCGTATTGTATTATCTGATAGTAATAATGTCTAACAAATAAATGAACCTTCAATAGAATCATGGAGTCGAAGTGGGACATGAGCATCTCGCTTACTCCATCTGAAAAAGGAAAGATCTTCCCACGGCTTATAGTATTTGTTATCTGGGAGAACAACCATTTGAGAAATCACAGAAGCCATTTGCCCTTCAATTGCAGATAATAATAATAAAGAAGAACCTCTCTATTTTATATTCGGCATACGACCACACACAAACCATGTATCAATTCTTCGTCTTTCTCTATTTTTCGCAGTAGATGAGACCGTCGCTATATCTGGAAGCATCAAATAAATTTCAACAAGCATGTCTAAAGTCTAAACGGAATAGGGTTTGGGCCTTGGGGTAAAGATAGAAAAGGGAACACTATTACTCCGTATATTATATGCGGACGGAGCAATATACTAACGGGGATGGAACGTTCACGGAAAAGGATGAATCGAAAAAAAGATGATTATTTAGTAGAGTACACATAATAAAATACATTGTACCACCCGATGAAGCTAGATAGTTACACCAACATTTTTCTCATACCTAAAATATCCTAACTCTCATTGGCTATTATAAGTTTTTAAGATTTAAGAAATACGTGGTCAATTTGAAGCACCTATTCTTCAATCTGACTGAACCTTAACAAAAGGTGAATGTTGTACTTAAAACTGCTATACTTATTTGGAAACTACTAAGAGTTCAAACTTTATTTAAACCGTTTCTTATTTGAACTTTAAACCACAATTGTGATATTACTAATAACTCTATCCATACCATGTATTTGGAATCTTACTTGTACTTTAAACCACAAGGTAAGTACACTAATATCCATATATCTCTAATAAATCCGATCAATAACAACTCCATTTTTATCACCAATAACTCTAGCCATGCCATATATCACTAATAACTCTACCCATAGCCATGCCATGTATTTGGAATCTTACTTGTACTCTAAACCACAAGTGTGATATCACTAATAAATCCGATTAATGACAACTCCATTTTTAATTATAATTATACTATTAATTACCTCTGTACTATTAAGATTGGGATATGGGGCTTCAAATAATAGCAATTGTATTTATGTGACTGGTATTTCAATCAAAGATACTCTAGAAAAAACATGCTGTGTTTTATTAAGGAGTGCTATTTTTAAGGATATACATACCCATGAGCAAAGGAAAGGCAGGCAATTCTTGTGGGTTTTCTGGAGCTCCAACCAAGAGAAGATTTTCGTTTCCTTTCAACAAAGACAGTAGTGGCACAAGAGGGTGAACTGCAGAAACCTTGTCTATAAGGTCATCTAATGTGATTGCTGCAGCATATACACATATAAATAATACTTCTAAAAAGAGCATTTCACAAATAACTCTAGCATGGCATGGCTTTCAAACTTTAAAGAATTCAATTCTCTAAAACTATCATGGAGTCAACCGGTAAATGTGCATGACACCCAAAAAAGCTGACTCAGTGGGCATTTTTAATTTGGGGTTATAATAAAAATAAAAAATAACATGTTCAGCAAGAGTGTTTGGACTTGCAAATAGAAGTCATCACCGTTAAAGCTACAAGATAAAAAGAAAACAGTGCAACACCCTACCAGAGCTAGAACCATAACTTCTAACAAGAAATTCATAACTTGTAGTTCACATCATGTAAAAACCTCAAAATCAATTATACAGAAAAATCTGAGACTTCTCGCAACTGCTACTTTTAATACTATACTACGTAAATCTTATGAAACTTCATAACTTGTACGAAACTAAACCTCAACCAAAATTGTTTATTTTTTCAATATGAAACAGTCAAAGTTAACTGATTCCCAAAAAATTAGTTTCAAACAGGAAGATAGCTATGAGTCGGAGTCCTCCTCATGTCCATCAAGTAGAACTTATACTTTAGTTATGTATCAATTAATAATGCTCACAAGTCACAACTGCACATGATTCGGTATTTCTAAAGCATTCCAAATATAAAAATAACACTACTTATAAGTTCTCTTTAAAATATAACCATGCTTTAGTCAACTTTTGGTATTTATACGCTGTACATTGCTTTATTAGAATTACTGGATAGAATTACTGGAAAAATGTTAAGATAGAAACATGTTAAAGAAAAGGGTAGACGTAAATAGAGGATGCAAAGCAAAAATTACTTCATTTCATGTGGGCATTTAAGCAAACGCATAGATGGCACACAATATAACATGGATAGAATATCAACTAAAACATGCTGGAAAATTGCTATGAATTACAGAGAAAATCTGCAACAATAACTTGTTTTTTTCCAAGAAAAATCCATAGCTAAATGATTTTCACTAACAAAACTTTTTTTTGTAAAAAGAAACCATAAACACACTGGAAGAAATTCAACTCAGTATACTTTGAAAATACCGGGCATCATAAAATATTTTGTGGTATTCTTTTAAAACCCTAAATTTTATTAGAAAGCACAATACGAAAAAAGAAAGGCGAACACAATCTTACCGGTTAAATAACAGAACAGAATGTGTAATTATCTGACAAAGTTGAACATGGATAGATGCAATAGTGTTTAAGTCCAGCTTACAGGAATACCCAATCAAGCAATATTCTCTATAAACAAAGGCAAAAACAATCACAAGCATGTATTTATATGGTCATGGGAGAGAAGGATTGAAGGTGTCCGTGCGGAATTTCATAACTTGCACCGGCGAGGGAGGAGGATCAATTTGCAGACTCAAGTGAAAGTAAATTAGCTCCATGAATGCGAGATTGATGAACACCTTATGAAGAAATAAAAACCAACACTTACATAGACGCGTAGAAGACGAAGGGATGTGCGTCTGTGCGAGCTTGTGGGTGAATGGGTGTGGGGCCTTGTGGGTATTACTAACGGAAAGAATTTGTGGGATAATAACGGACACTAACGGCGGTACATTGGAGGGGCCGGAGATAAGCTACGGAACTTAGAAGTTTTACAAATATTCAAGCATAGTGTACATGTCAACAAAGCTCACAATACCACCAACAAAATATTTATACCCAAAATAACCTAACCCTCATTCAGCCTTATTAGATTGTAGAGAAATCTTAGCTACTTAAGGACTTTTTCCATTGAAAAGTACACTTTCCCATCCGGCAAAACTATAACTAAAAACATGCCGCCAGCGTCAAAGGCCCTGTTTGGCAATCAACTGTTAGCGGTTAGCGCTCAGCGGACAATGTTAGCGGGTTCTAAACAGCGGATTGAGTCAGCGGGTTTGACCTGCGGATTAGTTTGGCGGGTTATAGAAAGATGTTTGGTAGAATAGTTGTTTGCTTATAGCGGTTAATAGATAAAAAGACAAAAAATACATTAGTACATTTATTTATTTATTTAATACGTATGATCTTTTAAGTATGCTAATAATTTTAAAAATAATTAAATAAAAGTATAATAATTAAAATTCATTGAATGAAATTAGTTTAGGTCCAAAGGTATTGAACATCCATAATTTTATTGGGAGAGGCGGAGGTTTGCCAAAGAACACAGGTCTGCCTAGGGATGATAACCAGATCATAAGGCCTTCCGCAGACAACTTTTGGCTCCACTACAGTCTACAGCAGTGCTTATCATCATCAACGATAATATTCAGATTAGTTTAATTTACGTACTCGAAGTTGATTTTCTTCACAAAGGCAGAGGTTTGCGGAAGAAGAAAAGGGTAGGTCCGTCAAGGCGTCAATGGTTGCGACAAGTTTATTCTGCAAAAGAAGAATATGGAAGGGCTGTGAAATTGAAGAAAGAATAGGAAGGGCAAGAGTGAGAATTGGCTACGTGATTAGAATCCGCCCATCCTAAACGCTACACTTTCTAGCGTTTTAGTTTTTGGCATTTCCGACCAAAACGCTATTCAAAACCGTCATATGCCAAACACCTCATTTTAACGTTTTGACTGGTCAAATCTGCCAAACATGGTCAAAACCGCCAAAAAGTGGCGGAAACGCCATTTACCAAACATGGCCAAAGTTTCTCCTCAAAACTGTAGCTTCCGGTAAAAAAGTTTTTTAATTATAATTCTTTATTAGTTTTTCTTTAGTAGTTACACAACCGAATTTTATGATTTTAGATAATAACATTACAGGAATCATAACAATAACCGTCCAAGATTATACTAAAATTGTACATTTCGGTATTTAGCCCCCCCCCCCCTCCTTATATTGGAGTAGGCACATTCATACATACATATTTAAAAGAAGAGAAAAGAAAGGATGATGTTAATTGATCCTGGGTCCTTACCATGGTCTTATCAAAACAATATTTTTTGTCATAATGATCAATAAAAGCAGTACTAGATCGATTTAATTAATGACTTTAATTGGATCTACGTTCTTGGGGTTTTATAGTGTTGAATGACTTGCTTGTTAAAGATTGGGTATACAATAAAACACATCACCAATTCAATTCATACAGATCAATCACTAAATTATATAAGTAGTTTTTCTAATGAGAACATAATAATCTTATTCTAAAATGATGTATATATACATATATCAATTTTTTTTTAAATTTTATTACTAATGTTATAGGCTTATAGCAATGCACTTTTATTTTAAGCAATACTCATAATTACCGTATTCTAATTTTAAATCTTTGTTATGCACATGCACAGTGGCGGAGCCAGAAATACGGTCCAGGGGGGTCGAGAATCAACTTTATACAAAATGAAAACGGTGGATCGTTTTCAAACAATGTCCGAGTTGAATATTTTATATGTAGTTTAGATAAATAGGCACTCGTAACAATAAAAGAGACTGTTTTTGTTCTATTTTTGAGTCATGTCACGTAAGTAATGAGTTAATTATACGCTATTTTTAAAATTTGGGGGAAAAAATCAATATTACTCATCAAATTTTGCTGATTTTACGTTTAGATAGTGCTGATTTTGCAGAAGTCATAACTTTTTACTCGTAATGAGTTACGGGGACCATAATATATCAAACCGAAGATATTTCAGAGCTCTATGCTCTCAAACTTTCAGCGGGGTCTACTGACCACCTTGACCCCCCCCCCTTGGCTCCGCCCCTGCACATGCATTGTTGGGAATAACAGGATCGTGCTAATATGAGAGAAAAACACTTCTATTACTTTCAAGAATAGAAAGAAGAGACATACAAGCTCTAACTAAAAACTCTCAAAACAACACCTCACATATCTCTCAAGGATATTCACAACTCTTCTTGGTTGTGCTATGATGATATATTCTAATTTACTTGATGATAGAAAGACTCTCCAAGCTCTCTATTTATAGCACCAAAACTAGGTACTATGAAGGTGGAAGGAAGCTTCAATGGTGGTTGGAAGGAAGGTCACTCCTAGGTGTATGGAAGATCCCTTTGTCATTCTTGCACATGGAGGAAACTTCAGGGAAATTAGGAATTGGATTCTTCAATTTGCTTGTACTTGGATATGACCTGGAAATTGAATTCTTCAATTCTCCCCTTCCAGGCATATTCAAAACAAGCATCCCGACTATGTCTCTGCACAACTCTAGCTTATCCCGTGTCACCACCTTCGTCAGCATGTCTGATGGATTCTCCTTTGTATTGATCTTCACTAGTCTCAACAGTTGTTGATCAATCGTCTCTCGTATCCAATGATACCGAACATCAATATGCTTTGTACGAGAATGGTACATGGAGTTCTTGCTTAAGTCTAAAGCACTCTGACTGTCACAATGTACCTTGTACTCTGATACCACTTGTTCATTTGCATCCTTCTTCAGCTTGAACACCCATTTGTTCCTCAGAGCTTTCTTCCCTTTAGGAAGTTCTACGATCTCATAGGTTTGATTTTTCTGTAGAGATTCTAACTCATCCTGCATTGCTATTAGCCATTTTTCTTTATCCTTGTGAGACATAGCTTCTTGAAAACTCTCCGGTTCTCCATCTTCAGTTAACAAAAGATATTCAGATGATGTGTACCTTGTCGATGGTATATGCCCTCGTTCAGATCTACGAACAGTAGGAACCATCTGAGAAGAGCTACCATCATCTGTGTCTGACGGGGTGGATTGTGTCTCCCCTTGCCCTGCACTCTCTTCTGTCTCCTCGTCTTCTTCTGCTTCAGAGTTTTCTTCATGCACTTTGTCCTCTTCTGATACTTCATTTGAAACTTGAACACCCTCATTTGACTTCCGAGACATTGTGGGTTTTTCAATGTCTTCTATTGTCAAATCTTCGTGGAACACAACATCCCTACTTCTGAACACCTTTTTCTCCTTAGGATCCCAAAGCCTGTATCCAAACTCTTCATTTCCATAGCCAACGAAAATGCATGGGATAGTTCTTGCATCGAGCTTCTGCCTGAGCTCTTTGGATACATGTGCATATGATGAACAGCCAAATACTCTAAGATGTGAGTATGTAGGATCCTTACCTGTCCATAACCTCTCTGGAACTTCAAAGTTCAATGGTACCGAAGGTGATCAGTTGATAAGGTAGCATGCGGTGTTGACTGCTTCTGCCCAGAATGACTTCGGAAGCTTAGCCATATTCAGCATGCTCCGGACACGCTCCATGATAGTCCAGTTCATTCTTTCAGCAACGCCGTTGTGCTGAGGGGTGCGTGGTACTGTCTTCTCATGTCGAATGCCATATTCTCTACAATATGCATTGAACGCCTTAGAAGTATACTCGCCTCCATTATCAGATCGGAGACATTTCAGCTTCTTTCCCGTTTCACGTTCCACCAAGACGTGAAATGTCTTGAAGCACTCAAATACCTGATCTTTCGTAATCAGGAAATACACCCACACTTTCCGAGAAGCATCATCAATAAAAGTCAGAAAATATCTGCTTCCACCGATTGATTCCACCTCGAAAGGACCACAGACGTCGGAGTGTACCAAACTTAACAGCTCTGATCTTTTAGCTAAAGTAGAACTAAATGATACTCTATGATGCTTACCAAACAGACAATGACTGCAAGGACCCAGTGCAGCATTCTTGTCGATGTTGATAAGGTTCTTCTTGATCAAGGTAGTCAGCCCTTTCTCACCGATGTGGCCGAGTCTCAGGTGCCACAGATTCTGAGAAGTCTCCTCAGCAATGTTGAGGCTATCCGTACAAATCCTCAAATGGGTTTTGTACAATGTGCCACAAACATGTCCTCGAGCGATTGTCAAAACGCCCTTTGACATTTTCCAGGTGCCTCTGTTGAAGTGGTTTTCATATCCCTGTTCGTCAAGACATACCACTGACAGGAGATTGAGACGAAGGTCTGGAACATGTCTGACATCCTTCAAAGTGATTGTGCTCCCAGAACTCGTCTTTATTTGTACATCACCAATTCCAGCTATTTCAGATGAACTAGAATTACCCATCTTCACTGCTCCAAAGTCTCCAGCTTTGTAAGTTGTGAAGTAGTACCTGTGGGGAGTAACGTGGTAGGATGCTGCAGTATCTACCACCCATTCAGTGTCCTCTCTTGAGACGTGAAGGCATGTTTCATCATTGATAGTACAATACGCCACATCACCTGAGATTGTGATGAGCGCTTCACCACCCTTGCTCTTCGCTTGAGAATTGCTCTTGCCTCGCTCCTCTAGCAATTTGTAGCAATTCTTCTTCATGTGACCCTCTATACCGCAATGGTGGCAGGTATAAGAAGGTTTCCGGCCATCTGATGATCTCCCCCGACTTTTGCCCCTGCTTTGCCATTTCCCTCTACTGTTTCTTTGTTGTTTTCCTTGTGATCTTCCTCTATTCTCTGTCACAAGGGCATGAGTCTCATCTGTGCTCATGTCTTTCCTTCTTGCCTCCTCATTGAACAGTGCATCCTTGACCACAGACATGGTAAGTTTGCCATCTGGGGCTGAGTTGCTGAGAGTAACAACTAGTGTCTCCCAACTATCAGGAAGGGAACTAAGAAGCAGTAGAGATTGCATTTCATCTCCAAGTGGCATTTCTACACAAGATCGTGACAGTAGAATTTTATCTGAAAAAATTTGGGAAAAGTATCAAAAGCTCAACCAGGCTCTGATACCACTTGTTGGGAATAACAGGATCGTGCTAATATGAGAGAAAAACACTTCTATTACTTTCAAGAATAGAAAGAAGAGACATACAAGCTCTAACTAAAAACTCTCAAAACAACACCTCACATATCTCTCAAGGATATTCACAACTCTTCTTGGTTGTGCTATGATGATATATTCTAATTTACTTGATGATAGAAAGACTCTCCAAGCTCTCTATTTATAGCACCAAAACTAGGTACTATGAAGGTGGAAGGAAGCTTCAATGGTGGTTGGAAGGAAGGTCACTCCTAGGTGTATGGAAGATCTCTTTGTCATTCTTGCACATGGAGGAAACTTCAGGGAAATTAGGAATTGAATTCTTCATGCATTATATTTTAGTATCATACTAATACACATTTCTTTTAAACATTATATTAATTTAAGTATGACACAAAACTCATTTCTATAAATCATTTTCTTAATATGTTAATTGTAAACGAACTAATTCATTTAACTACATTCATTACTTTTATAATGTCATACCAATGTTCATTATGTTTCTATTAAACGTTAATTAAGTATAACAACAAACTCATATATGTAACAATACATTCATTATAAAAACATACTTAATATAATTGTATGAGGTCACTAAAATATCAATGTATTTATTCATTAGAAATATAATAATTTTATTAGAAAAAGTAATTTACACTTTGCTATTCTTGGCTTACAGATTTTATTATATTCATTAAAAATATAATAATTTATTAGATACGTAATTTGCACTTTACTATTCTCGACTTCCAAACTTTATTATGCTCATTGTATAATCCATCACTTATCCACATTTATTTTAAACACTACTTGTTTTTTTACAGCACAATCCTAATAAAATTAGCTATGTTTACTAATTTGTCACAAATAAAATCTTTCGAACAGAGTAAAAATTTGTGTTACAAATTTGTATAAAAAATATTTGTGAACTTCAAAAACTCAACCAATCTTAAGACAGTGCACATTATAAAATATATTAGTGCGTAGCAAAAGCCAATATAAATTTAATGATATAAAAAGAACATTTTAAGCTACAAAGGGAGTATCATATATAGTGATGGACCCGGTTCGGGCCACCCGGCCCAGGAACCGGCCCGGCCCGCTACTGTGCAGGCCCGGCCCGCTACTGTGCGGGCCCAGTCCGGCCCGGTGCTTCGTGTCACAAACCGTCTTTTGACCCAGACCGTTGGGTTTAGCGGGGCGGGCTCGGGCTGAAGAAAAGGTGACCCGGCCCGGCCAGGCCTGGTTTGAGCCAATTTTTTTTTTTTAATTTTTGGTTCCCCCGGGTTGGGCTGGGTGTTTTGGAGGGGGGGGGGGGGTTGAGGGATTGGGGGGGTGGGGGTGGGGGTCAGGGGTAGTTAGGAAAGCAAAAAAAATATAACCAGGCCCGAGGCCCAGCCCAAACCGCACCCGGTGGATACCCGGGCCGGTTCCGGGCCTACACCTTAAACCCCAAAAGCCCGTCGGGTCTAGGCCCGACCTGGGCCCAACCCGGCCCGGGTCCATCACTAATCATATAAAGTCGAGAAATATTTGAGTCAATAAATATAAATCACAAACTTCAACAAAACTCGATAAACATAATGCTAAAAGGCTAAAAGCAAACGTAAAATCCTACAATCAGAAGTACGAGTATTACGGAGTAAATGTTTGATCTTTAGTACTACGTATTTGGAAATTCCATGTTCATTTTTTTTGAAGAAACGGTTCATTTGACTATATTATTATGAATATTTTTCCTTTGCTCTTTATATGTTGGGGCTGGTGAGGTGTTTGGTGTGAGCTACAAGCTAGAGGGATAGGTTTATGTATGTGGTGAATAATAATATTAATATTAAAAAAGTTATGGAGAAAATGTAACTAAAGCTATTTTTCCTAAAATATTAATATAAAAAAGGTTTTGGATAAAATGTAACTAAAACTATTATAACCGTATTTTTTTTATTGATAATAGGACTCAAAAATAGATGAATTATCAATCTCTAATGTGAAAGATAAAATGTATCCATATAGGATTCGAATGATGGAAAACTATCAATTTATGACCCCAATGATTGAAAACTATAAATCTGGAACCCAGGTTATCATAATTTTATTTTTAGAAGTTTTAAATAATATTCTTTTATTAACTAATAAAATTTTGTGAAGAAAAGTTTATCAAAAATTTTCAAAGGATTTAATAAAAAAAAAATTCCATTCATTTGCAATGGAGCCAAAGTTTCATTATTTTTTGGCTTGAGAATATGATGGAATAAAGCAAAATGGCTCACTAAACTGTCTGCACTTCTATGTTATGAAGCAGCAGTCAGTCCATGCAATTTTGGACGCGATTTTCACCATGGGTCATCCAGAAACAGTCTCTCTATGATTTAGTACAGGGGTAAGACTGCGTACATCCGACCCCCCTTATCCCACCGTAGGTGGAAGCCTTTGCGGCACTGGGGTCAATGAAAATGAAATTTAATAAAAAAAAGTCAAATAAATCAAACCCTATGAATGATTAGGTTCTAGATTGATAAATTTTCATCACTCAGATCTTGTACCGATACATTTCATCATTCGGGTTCATCTGTCTTCCAGGTCCTGAATTGATAAAATCCATCTTTCGGGTCCCGTATTACTTCTCTACCTTCTTTACGTTTTTGTACGTGCCAATTGTTGTTTTTCGGGTCTCGTATTGATAATTTATCAAAATCTATGAATGGTTAGCTTCTAGATTGATAGTTTTTCATCATTCAGATCCTATACCGATACATTTCATCGTTCGGGTCCCGTATTGATAATTCATCTAACTTTCAAATCCTGAATTGATAAATCATCCGGGTCCCGTATTTATAATTCATCTATTTTTCAGGTCCTGAATTCATAAATCCATCTTGGTATCCCATATTACTTCTCTACCTTCTTTACGTTTTTGTACGTGCCAATTATTGATTTATTGACCCCTAAGTTTTCTGGGCGAAAATTACAAAGATATAAAGAGCAGAAAATTTTCAAATAACGTGTCAATTTTAGGGCTGGGACCGGTTCGGTTCTTACTCAAAATGAGTGGAACCATTATAAAAGTTTTAACTAATGAAATCGGTTCGGTTCCTATATAAAAAATCAAGAACCGTTATGGAACCGAACCGGTAGTAAACGGTTCGGTTCTTCCTTTTATCGGTTCCTAGAATAATTTTTTCTCGTCTAAGAATTAACACATAATTTACTTTCTACAAACAACATAAACACGTCGAAAATTCAAAACACGAGTATTAAAATTTTATTTGAAGCTCTAATCACTTCAAAATTCAAAGCTCAAACTTAACTAATGAACTTTGAACACTTAATAGAACAAAAGTGATTTAAATTTTCATGTAATAAATGAAACATTAAAAATCGTTGTAGCAAGAATATGACGCCTACTTCAAGTCTTTCAAAACATAAAAAAAAGACATTAAGTTTGCATGTATAGATATAAAAAAACATTATTACATATTTACATTCTATTGATTCATAATAGATCTAATAATTAGAAATATCATGAAAATAGTAAAGTAAAATATGTGCAATCAACTACAAGTTATTTGAGTTATTTTATATTTATAAAATTTATGTGATGGAACAAAACTTGATTTGTAGAAAGGAGTTTAATGTATTATATCAACCTCATGTACAATATTTATTACTTCTTTTCCGTTGATTAAATTAGAATTGTTAGTTAAATATCTTATATTGTTTTATTATAGTGGTTGTGGTGGTGGTTATTATTGCTATTATATTATTATTATTGTTACTACTACTACTATTACTACTACTACTACTAATATTATTTTATTTTTTATTTTTTTAATAACGGTTCCTTAACGGTTCCATGCACATATTTTTTATAGAAACCGGGAACCGAACCGTTATAAACCGCTTCGGTTCGGTTCCTACAAATGAGGCATTAATTGTTAACGGTTCGGTTCCTAGATGTTGTTAACGGTTCGGTTCCAATCGGTTCTACGGTTCCCGGTTCCAAAATCCCACCCCTAGTCAATTTTACTTCATAAAAAGAAGGTACCTCCTTTTATTTTGACAAAACCGAAGTGATATTTTATTTGTCGTTATAATTTGTCATTAGTAATGCTAAAATTTCTAATACATATCTTATCTTTTTTATAAAATATTCACTGTTTTTATCATGATACTTTTACTCTCCATAATTAAAAAAGGTATGGTTTATAAGTTTTGGTATTAGGCGTCTTGAACGTACGCGAGAATTTAGTTTATTTCTTAGGTTAAAGGATCGCCCTTGAACTAACTTAAAGTGTTCAATTAACCCCTTATGTAAGAGGTTCAGTCCGACCATCGCTAATTGGAGAGGTTTCTGGTGTAATTTTTTGATGAAATTTTTTGAGCATCTTCTTCATTAAGTCTAGTTTATCCATACCAAATTTCAGCTAAAAATTAAATCGGGAAGACAGTCAAGTGATTTTCCGAAAAATCATTTGATTGCCTTCCCGGTTGAATTTTTAGCTGAAATTTGGTATGGGTAAACTAGACTTAATGAAGAAGATGCTCAAAAAATTTCATCAAAAGATTCCACCGGGAACCGCCTCAATTGACGACGGCCGGGCAGAACCTTCTATATAAGGGGCTAATTGAACACTTTAAGTTGGTTCAAGGTCCTATTTGACCCTTTAGCCTTATTTCTTATTAATAAATTAATAAATTAAAATTACAACATAAAACTTGTATGGATATCAACTTTATGCTTAACCATGTCAGAATCAACAAGAACTGGAATTTCTGCTGCAAGCCATGGTGCAAGACCCAAACAGAGGGCATGTGCAATTCCAAACCTCGTTATCTTACGGAGTATCATCTTCAATCTTGGTTAAATTTCAAACTTAAAAAGTTACATTTGTAGTAATCCATATAATATTGAAAAGTAGTTTTTTATCCCTCAGCTTTCAAACTTGACTAAAAACAAACCGAAGAGTGAATTGCTATGTCAAATTAACATGTTATGTCAAATTTATGTCAAAACTGAAAATAAATTGACATGTTATGTCAAATTAAAAGGTTGGACTGAAATGCTAAAAGTGAAAGATGCTTCAGATCATCTTCTTAAGTATTAGTCAAGTTCAAATATTCATCCAAACAGAGCTACATGAACTAATTGTTTCAATTTATGAAATTTCAGCTCAAAATAAACTGAAATGGTAATATAAACACAACCTGGTTCGTCTATGC